CGGTTTTTAAAAAGCATCAAGAATATAACCAAGGCAACTGATGAATCAGATAATCATGAAATTTTAGAAATTGTTCGTGGTAAATTAATTCAATCTGCAGGAATATGGTTCGACAATAATGAAGCTAATTTTAAAAAATGGTCAGATTTCGAAATTGCATTTCGAAATCGATATTTTTCTTCAACATCAACTCATAAGAAATTTGATACATTAAAACAACGTAAACAATTACCGGATGAACCGATTACGTCTTATTTCGATGACATTATTAATTTATGCCGGGAAATTGATTCAACTATGTCAGAAAAAATTATAATTCAACATTTAATGAGTGGAATCAATCCTGATTTTAGGAAGGAATTATCAAGACGTGAATCATCTATTCATACATTAAATGAATTTTTAAAATATGCAAAAATTGAACAAGATTTACAAGATACATTTGATAATCTATTACTTGATTCACAACAACGTCATCTTAATTATAATCACTCATCAATTCCATCATTAACTACTACCGTTAATCAACCAAAACAATATTATAATAAAATGAAGCACAACAATTATGTTTCACATTCAGCACAATCGCAGAGCTCCGTTTTTCAGCGGAACTCGATTCCAACACTTGGAAATCGAACATCCATGGTACCTGATGGAAAACAAATTCGGAATTATCCACCACAATCGATATTAAAAAAGAAACCTATTAATAATCGACCAACATCACAACATCAATTCAACAACTGTAAAGTTTGTGGTCGGAAAAATCATCGAACAATTGATTGTTATTATAAACGTACAACCGGATGCTTTAATTGTGGTCAAGATCACAATGTCCGTGATTGTACATTACCTCCAAATTTTCAATAACTGGGTCACATGATGGCGGTGTTCCCAGTAAATTTATAAAGCCATCGACAATAACATCATTCCCGGTTTACATTAAGATTCGTGTTAATGATCAACCAACGGAAGCAATTGTTGATACTGGATCCGCCATCTCAATTATTCATTCAAATTTTCTTAAAACTATTCATCATAAAAATTTTATTTATAACAATTACACATGTCAAACAGCTAATTCAACACCGCTTAATATTATCGGTCAAATTAAATTAGAATTAAAACTTAAATCAAAAACAACATACGTCATTGCCTACGTTGCAACAAATTTAATTACATCTTTATTATTAGGTAATGACTGGATTAATTCAAACCATGTTCACCTATTTGGTGATAAACAACAACTAACTATTCCTGATCAACATAATCGATTAATATCGATTCCATACGTAGAACCTACATTTATTAATTATCCAGCATTATTAATTGATCAAATTACCCTTCCACCATACTCACAAATATTAGTTGATATTTCATGTGAAATTAATAATGATAATAATTTGATATTTGAACCATATTCAAACTATGGCTCAAAATTTATTTTTACACCACATACATTATTAAATATCAACAATCATAAAGCTAAAATATTACTAATCAATGCTCAAAATCAGCAAACAATATTACCAAGAAATACACGAATCGGAACTCTTTCTCGTCCATCAACTCACACAATATGTTTTAGTACATCAAGTCCAACAAAACAAAATTTATCTTTCAATAAATATAATCAATCCACATCCAGAATTTCAACCAAATTAAAATCCAGAGCTGTCTTACGTAAAAGGGACAACTCGAATCAAGAAAAAGTAAAAATTATTTGTCATCATTGCAATGAACATTTTTTATCTGGTAATGATTTACAAAAACATCTACGAGCAGAATGTTATTCCGAACAGATTCGAAAACAAATATTCGAATCGACTAAACATATAGAAAATCCAAAACATCGATTAGCAATTCAAGATATTTTATGGCGAAATAAAATATTATTTGATCCTACACCATCAATTATTAATATTCCTCCGCAATCAGCAATTAAAACTGGTGATCATCCTCCTATTTATTCGAAACAATATCCCGCCTCATACAAAG